AATCTTTTTTGACTTTTTTATTTTTTGGTCAAACAGGGTATAGTATCAGAACCACAGGTTTGTCTTTCATTCTTTAAGTAACAAGGACTTAGAATCCATGGTACCAAAATTTGTTAATGCTAAAGGTAAAAAAGAAATTAAACATCTCCCAGTGTTCCTTACCAGCGTGTAACACATGTTTCAGTGGTCGTGGGTGTTTGGTCAGTAATCCAAAGGTCGCTGGTTCAAGCCCTGCCATGGGCATTTGACGTTGTCTGTTGTGTCTTTAGACAAGCTAATTTATCTGCATTTTCTCAGTCCACCCAGCTGCAATGGGTACCGGCTTACCCTGGGGGTGACCCATCCAGGGAGATACATGTATTCTGGGAGAGAGGATGACATTCACAGGAAGGAGTGGCAATCATGATGAGAGAGAAACCAGATAATTCATCGATGGATTGGACACCAGTGAATGAATTAATTATCAAAGCTAGATTCTACTCAAGGTTCATTGAAATGACATTAATACATGTGTATATACCTACAGAAAACCAAAGGCGAATTCTACGCAGTGTTGCGAGAAGTTCTAGGCAGTGTACATCAGATTCCGTAACAGGGACAGGTGTGTGTCTCCGAATGGATTTGAACCCAGGAGTTTTAGCATGCCAGTTCAGTGCTCTACCAATCAAGCTGAAGGGTTATCCCACTAGCCTAAGCTACTAGGATGTAATGTATATTACATTACCCCCCTACAATGTGGTAGTGTTGGTTATATGGCTCCCTACTAGCTTGAGCTAGCATGATCTCTCATCCCCTTAACACCTCAGAAACCGGGTGTATATGAACCTCATGGGTGCGAGAAGGATTTATCTTTAACACTATATTAGCAAACACTTTGACAATTATTTCAAAAATTTGATATATGAATGCTTTACAACTTATATATTTAATTGAAACATTCACTATTTGCTTTGATTTTGCCGAATTTAAGAGGATAGACAGTTAACCGTGTCTTATTTTGGCTAGCGATCAACGTCATTTGAGTTAATGTTTGATAATTTGTACTCGACGTCATATTTGAGACGCCCTCCAAGCTTCTCTTACAATATAAACATACCAAAAATGGTGGCCGAAAAATAAAACTTTATGCATTATATAAACAAAATCATACAGTTTTTTGAATTCTTGCTTATGATTTATAAACAACAACATCAAATCGTAAAAATAGCTGCAAAAATTTCGATAGATGGCGCAGGGTAGCAATTGTTATGACTTTGAAATGAACGGGTTTTTACAAAATCTGACTGTCTTTATAAACGTATGCGCTTTAAATTACTTTAGTAATACCCTTCTTATATATCTAAAACAATGAAAAAAAACCCCGAGTGATTTTACAATAATTGCAGGTATCTTCGACTGTTGTCTAAATTGTTACACAATGTAGTACCATACACACAAGATTGCTAACGCATCGACTTCCGATCATATGTGTTTAACGCTTTGTTATGCTAATTCGTACAAATTAAAATTGCATACAATACTTTCAGCAAGAAATTATCATTTCCTTATTTTAATTTACAACTAATCCAAGTAAATTTTCTCCGTGTGGAAATTAAAAACGCAATTCGAATCCATACTGTGTTGTGACATTGGTGTTGTGACAATATTATAATGAGTATATAAACAACAAAATTACGTTTAAATTCGGGGGTAAAATTATTTTTCATTATTTACAATTTATAATTACTTGATATTTTTAATTAGATAATTATCATTGCAAAATTTTAAGACATTTGAGCAAACGAAGTGTGAAAAAAATCGTTACGAAAACACCCCAAATCGCACAATTTCCTTAGCAGCGGATAAACACCTTGCTATTTTTGGACTGTCAAACTTTAGACTTTATCATAACAATAAAAGGTTTGACTTTTTGCCATAAACATTCTGATGAGTTATAATCGAAAATACAATGAAAACAATAAATTAGTGGCAATTTAATGGACTTGTAATAATGTCTTAAATTTAAATGTCGCAATATGCGCATTTCAAGAGGGGATCGCGCGCCATGGTCTGTGTCCTCCTTGGAATCAGTAGTAACAGTCTGTTTACTTAGTTTGGTATAAGTGGCTTAAAATACCTATGGATTAAGTAGTTCAAAATACCTATGGATTAAGTAGCTTAAAATGCCTACGGATAAAGTAGCTTAAAATGCCTATGGATTAAGTAGTTTAAAATGCCTGTGGATTAAGTAGTTTAAAATGCCTATGGACTAAGTAGCTTAAAATGCCTATGGATTAAGTACATTGTGGTTTAAAAACCCTATGGATTAAGTAGTTTAAAATGCCTATGGACTTTAAAACAGGCGCCAAACAAAAGATGGAAAAAAAAGGAAAAGGCTCAAACATTTCGTATGATTCTCAGAAGAATGATAATGGGCTTTTTTTAAAGATGTACAAATTATTGTATTGTATTGTCGCAAAACAACAGCAACTGATTTTGAACTAGGATTTATTTCACAAGATACATATAAAACGTTGGCCTATAACTATAGATTCAAGAAATGAAGAATATTTTCCCAAAACTTTCTGCCTTTGAAACGATCCGTCACGTTTATCAAGAGTGTTGACAGAAGCAGAAATACGAAGTTTTCTGGAATGTTGACGTTACAAAAATGGCTGCCACTTTGGAAAGAGATCCATCATTATTCCTAATTTGTTGTTGCTTACCATCAGCGAAGAACTGAAGCAGTACAGATTCGAATTCTATTGGAGGGGTCACTCGATTGACCGTATGACGACTCTTCTTTTGTAATCATCAGCATTGAATGGCCAATAACAAGATTAATTTCTGAAGACTTTGAAAAATTATGTCATATGGTTTGTTTCAAATTTCAAATTGTATTTCTAATCTGTTTAACAACGGTCTGCATATAAAATAACTCTAATATTTAGTGATATTTTTAAGAACAATTAAAGTCACGAATGTACATGTATTAATGTTGGCTTAATTGATGGGTTTCATTCCAGAATCAATTATATGTTCTTGCCATATAACATTATCAAGTAAAACTTTTACAGGACATGAAGAAGTGGTTTATACAACAATTAATTGTAGCGTTGATCTCACTAGAGATTGCGGTCATTGTGATCATTGCTGGTAGCACACAGGCGGGCACATTTACTGGTAAATAGTAGATTTTATGTACGGAATAAGGGAAATGTGTTAAAGTATAAATATATATTTCATTCATATCATAAGAAAATCATTTTATGCGTTGTAATTTATAATGTTGATGCTTACTCTGTCATATTAGATAATCAAAATAGTGTAATGTGACACTCTTCGACTTATTGAACCTTAAAGCCTAATATAAAGAACAGATAAAAATAAAGAAAGAAACAATTCAGATTAAATAATTAAATTTTGTTTTTATTAATGAACAACGCACAGAATTTGAAGATAATTAAATAATGTAGTTCTATCTTTTTCTGCATTTATGAAAACTAATTTATCTCAGAATGCAGAGATTCTTTTGTCTGACATGTTCCTCAATTAAAATGCTTAATGAATTTATTATAATATCTATTATCATATATAATTTTTTTTGTGATTTAAATATTAATCTTGAGGTACATTACTAATATTTGTGCCAGATTCCAAAGGTTGTAGTATTTTTATATACAATCCTTTTGGAAATCACTTGAATGGCTGATATCTTAATTTTGTGTCAATATTATTTTAGTCATTTGAAACCAGTATAGAAATTTCAAGATATTAAAAATAATAAATATTTTTGATATATTAGGAAGGGATACAAATACAATATTGGAGGAACGTGTCAACAGACCTTACTTTGATTAGTATCAACAAATATACAGTTATGTGTATGTACATTGTACATCATTAATTCAGTCTAAAATATCTGCAGATTTTAATACCAGATGGGCTTACATGACGAAGTTCGATAAAAATTCAACACAAACTGAAACTATTTACCAATTCAGGGCGGGATCCTTGACAGAGTGTATGCAAGTATGCCTGAGAGTGGTTTCCTGTGTTGGAGTTATCTTCTCCAGTTATTCTTTCCAATGTCTCCTACAGAGAGAATCTTCGATTAACATTACACAGATTGGAACAGACTCCGAGTTTTATCAAATGGAATCCGAGAAGAGTATGAGAAAATAATTAAATTTTTTTAAATGCAAAAATAACCTGATTCCGTGGGAAATTATTTTATAACGAGTGACTGATTTTTGGCAAGGATTTTTATTTGAATACATGTACTTGACAGGTAGAATCGAATTACAATTACTTGGAAGGAAAATAGTCTTTTTTGTTTTACCTTCCGGTGATTTATAGGGAATTTATGACTTTACCAAGACACTCACTTATATGAAATATGAATTTAAGATAACGAACAGTAATTATGCGTACTAAAATTCAAACAATATAATTTAAGAGCAGAGCAAATACGGACTCTTGAAAACATGAGAGGTGGGATTAGGTGCCATAGAGAGATAAAAGCATCCCCACTCAATCGGCCACAGCTGCCGTGAGCCCTTTGTCCTTGTCGAGATAATCAGTAGACAATTAAGTATAAAATAATGGCCTAACATAAAAACCACGGAAGTCAACATTAGATCCACGGAAAGGTCGTAGCAAACAAAGGCATTGAATTGATCATAAAATCTACGAATGTTAACGTTAAATGAGATTATTGATTCCCTTGTATCATTAACTTTTTGGTCAGTAACCCGCCTCGTTTTAAAAATTTCGTACGTAGAACATGTTCTTGCGGATCGAATCAATTTTGATTGGTAATTTCTTACATGCTATTATAATGACCATTTTATTGTTCAATCTGACGTTTGGGGAAAAAAAAATCATGTTTTATTTTGTAGATCCAGCCAGCTGTTCGGAGTTAAAAGAATGCTTTCCTTCCTCTACTGATGGAGAATACTGGTTATTTCCGAATAAATTTGACAGAAAAATTCCAGTCAAGACATATTGTCATAATATGACCACCAGAAACGGCGGAGGAATATGTTACTCTACAACGACAAAACTACTTTATTGGACACGATGCATCCCATCTCATTTCCTTCGAGCGATGTACCAGGAATTCGCTTCCTGTATTGAGAACCAAGTTTTCAAAAGTCAGAATAAATATTGAGGTAATCATTCCATTTACGGCGATATTATCATAATTATAAATCAATATTTGTATTTTTTTGAGTATTATGTGTCATATCAAAGCATTTTGATCTCTCTATCTCACTCATTATATGACTAACGATTGATACGTTACATACTAAAGGAATGATTTTTCTAAATCCTTGATAAAAATTTATTGGTGGGGGAAAATGAACTAATTATAAAATTTGTATTCAGTCGATGGGCATTATGCAGGACGACTTCACTTTTGCAACCACAACAGGAAATAGTAGCAAAGAAAGGAATGTGCCATTCGGTACTTGCAGCGACTGTACAGCTGAAGCATGGTGGGAAAAACGTTGGGGACCTTGTGAACTTGAAGGCACATTTCAAATTGATTTACATGACACAGGATTATCTATAGCGAAATCGGTAAATAGATCTGTTAATAAACAAAATAATAAAAATGGAATTCGAGAGCTATTAATGCTATCTCAAAAAGTTCTTTCTAGAGTGAAGTTGCATAGAAGATCAAAGTTTCACTGTAAAGATTCAAAATATCATTGTCAATAAGGGTATCAAAGTAAAGTATCAAGGTATTTATTAGGGATGACAATTGAATACAGAATTGCTAATCGGTTAATCACAAGACGTTCCAAATGATTAGCCGCTTAGTCGCATTAGAAATATACATATTTTTCAAGTAGCTCTATTCATATACACAAGAAGACTAATAAAGACCATATAAGTTATGATCATTCTGTTTACCCTGAGGAGAAAATTACATGTACCAGGGCTCTCCCAAAATTCCGTGACAAGCATAGTTTTGTAGAAACCCGTTGTCAGAAAATTAATGAAACTTTGCACAAAGATTTAACCAACTACATGTATAATGAAATATGAAGATAACTAACAGTATTCAAACTCAAAAGTCCATCTAAAAATACAAGTCAAGAGCAGAGCAAACACGGCCCTCTAAAACATCAGAGGTGGGATCAGGTGCCATGGAGGAGTTACTCTGCCGACCGGTCAAACCCGCCGTGTGCTCCCTGTCATGATCGGTAAAAAAGCGGAAAAAAAATCCGTAGACAATTCAGAGTGTAAATAATCGTCTAAACAATAAGTATGAAAAATGTCAGTCGGTATTTGACTTAATGATATATTGTATTTGCTGACAAGATCATTGTATAGACCAAAGAACTTGCGAATTGATGACTTTAATTGAACGAGACTGTTGATATTTTTGTTTCATCAACTTGTTTGTCAATAGCTTGTCTCGTTTTAGAAATTATCCGTACGAAGCGCATGCTCTTGCGCATCGAATCAGCTGAGAGACATAAACCCCATATGCAGGTGATAAGGGTACATTGCTACATAGTAAGGGAAGTTGACGATGGAAAAGTTGAAGTCATCACGTTTATCATGAAGTTTTGTTATTAGTTTACCATTAATGTCTTTTTCTAGTAAAATATCCAAATATGAAACAGATGTGTTAGACTCTGTGGTATCTTTTATTTCACGCTCATTGGGATATATCGGATGGGCATATGAATGGGAATAACTATTGTTAATTAAAAATACGTCGTCGAATTATCTAAATGTTGAGTTGAAGGCCACAACAAGTGTTTTCTTTTATGAATACAAAAATAGGTCTGCTAATAACGGGGCGCAATTGGTACCCATTGGAATTTCGACAAATTGTTGGAGGATCTGGTCTCCAGAAACCACATAGACATTGTCAATCAGAAACTCAAACATCTTTTTAATATCAAGTTCAGAGTACTTGTGTGTACAATCAGAATGTTTTTTTTAACAAAATAATGTTGCAAATGACTATAACAAGGTAAGTAAATTTACGAGTTCCATTTTTTTGAAGAAGCAGCTGTCAATTATGTCAAAAAGCCTGGACTTTAATTTATCGTGGGGAATAGTTGTATAAAGTGTTGAGAAGTCGACGTTTGATTTCAAATTTATTAAGATTGTTCCATGGAATTTTATGTATCCACATCTGATTTACACCACTTCTTTAATATATTATTCCACAGTACTCCTGAAGGTTCTCCTTCACTACTGTTAATATTTTAGTGAGGAGTAGAGAATGAGGCATGGTAGAGTATTTACTGGAACCCGCTATGTACCTTTATTTGTAAGGATTTTCATGAAGTTTCGGAATCCAAAATAAATATGGTAATTCAAATTCATTTTGGTTGTTGGGAATATTAAAAATATTTAAAACTGACATATGATTTTGAAGAATTTCATCTTTAGAAAGGGAGCTATGGATTACCACTTGCAGAATTAAATCCATGTTCCTCTAAAATACAATTAAAATAGTGTGCCTTACAAACAAAGACAATGCTGTTAAATGCACCTGCTTTGTCAGCTGGGACCAGTACAATCTGATCGTGTAATCTATCTAATTCCTTTTTCACTTCTGAGTTATTGAACACAGAAGGATATTAGAGGGTTTTCATACTGCATCTCAATCATGCACTTAATGCGAGATTTTAACATTCATCTAATTGAATCTAGTTTCAAGGTCTTTTTTCATGTTTGGTCAATCGCCTGGCGTAATCTTCCACGAATTCATAATATTTATGAAATTATGACGTCAGCTGAAAGATCGGGGTTCCCTAAATTTTGACCCTTTTATAATAAGTAATTTAAGGTCCTCATTATTAACTATACTAGTATTTACGTCTCCAGTTATGACGTGTCCAGCAGGACTATAGTTGTAGCGTGAAAAAGAACATGGACACTTTAAAGGATTATGTTTCAGATGTTCGATATCTAGGCCCTTTAGAGTTTTCTTGTAATTAAAGAGTTTCGAGGAAATAGTCGATGTATATTTTTGAGAAATATAAGGTGTTGACTTTAACTTGAAATATGGTGGAATACAAGACTTGACCCTTTTGTGATTAAAAATATAACTTATATTAACCGTGTCAATTCTTTTGTTGGCGTATTGAAGTTTAAGGAAAAAATGAGTTGTTTTAGCGCTATTTTCTTCCGTAAAACGCACTCTAAAAAGTCTATGATTTGCAATCAGAGTGATGATTTGATATTTGATCCATAACCACAGATCCGAACCTGTATTCTGGTGTCGAAGAATCAAAATATGGACTTCCTTGACTTTTTCAAATAGACTATTTAAAAGTTTCAAAGGGAAAAGTTTGGTGCGAATGTGATGAAAACCAAACTGTTTATTTACGTAAGGTAGTATAGAATCAAGGACCCAAACGAGACATCGTGTATAATAGGTTTATTGTAAGACCGATATCAATGACTACGCTTACGTCAGTACGTCTCTGTGTACCGTTAAAAAGTCCCATCACATTCACATTGCTACACCGTGGATTGGAAAGATTCCCAACACTATATATCGACGTTGTCATTGCATCCATATGGAAAGGCCGTGTCTAGTATTTTTTACCCAGTATTCTTCTCGTTGTATACGGAAAGGTGCATAACTAATAAATATGGACAAACATTGAGTAATTACACATTTGAACTCTATTTAAATAAAATATTTCATTGTATGGTGTAAGAAGGCGGTGCAGTACCCAAAATCTGCAATTAAAAATCGGTATAAGTATTCTAATTTCCGATAGACAAGAAAAAATAAATAAAACCATGAGACCTGCCTGAGAAATTATTTTCCAGAGCAGATGACACACGAGTTCATTCTGCATTCTCTCCATAATCAGGCGTAAGTCTGAAGTATCACTTAATTTACAATGTTTGTTTGTAATGACATAATTTGAAAGATAACTGCAAAAGATACACATACCAATTCACAATGCTCAACAGTGATTTAATTGATATCATCAAAACATTACAGGACGGTCGGGGTAACGAACATGATATTTAAACAGAAATTAACACTTCACAAACGTCTTCAAGGACTAATTACCACACGATCCACAATCCGGAGAGCATAATTACTTCCAAATCTTTGTGAAACGTTAAATTATCAACGTTTATGCAGATGTTTCCTTTTTTAAAAAATGAATTTTAAGAAACACATTCAAATTTACATAATTATATTATATTTTTTTTCGACTAACAAATTACAGATTTTCTAACCGCTTAGCATCGTTCCGACCGAGTAATCGATTAACCGGTTACAAATTGCCATCCCTATTATTTATGTGTGTTAACTATAGCAAACTATAGTTAGTATAAGTAAAGTAAATTTTTATTAGAGGTAGTAATTCCAGGTCTTTGATCGAAAGCAATTTTAAAGGGAAATATGAAATACTGACCAAAGCATCACATCCGAGCGGCAAAATCAGTTTCGGCACAAATAATGTATGCTTCCAGAGATTGATAAAAGCTAATGAAAATAATCTTTTTCTTTATCATGTTTTGGACAGAAAATTATAACATTTTAAACTTTTAACCCTTGAGGAATCTGTCCCACGCTTGAAATCTTACTAAATCAGGATTTCTTGTATAAGATGATAATTTAATGATTATTGTAAATCTAATTTTTCAATTGCTTAAACAATACACCTCTATGTGCCATCTGTACAAAATGCCTTAGATAATGTTCTGAAATTCAATATTCAGTGATTTTGTTTTGATGTTTATGTACTATTTAAGACCAACATCATAATCTTTCATGAAGGTTGGATGGGTCAACGATAGCGGAGATTGGTTTAGTGAAATTCGACAATTCAGTCGATCGGCCGACTCTACAAAAGTAAGCTGTCTTGTGATTGGCTGGTGTGGAAACTGCATTCCAAACGACACCATTACACTTGAACCTCTTTACGGAGCAGGTACAGGGGTTTTTTTCATCATTATCTTCAATATTTTATATCCTTAGGGATTACCAATAGTATTCTCTAGCTTTAGAATTTGACAATTTGTTTCCTAAGAATTTCAGTACAATTGCCCCGACACAGGTTGTTCATTGGTGCATTGATTTCGATTTTTGATCGAGGGCCTACCATGTCATGGATCCATTGCGATGTATTCATTTACGACACAGGTACTTGGGTCTTGGTTTATAAATATGTATACCTATTGAATATGAAAAAAAGTTTTACATATTCAATAGGTATGCATATTTATAAACCAAGGCCCAAGTACCCCTGATTTACGAGTAAGATACTAGTATGTGTAACAAATTTTCATCTGCTTTCGGGATTTCTGAAAGTCTTTAAATGTAGTGAATATTTGAAATGTTATTTTCACTGAAAACATGTATTAGTATGGAAAAAAATCATGCCTAGAAAAATGCCCATGATTTAATTGGACAAAAGAAAAATGAAAGACCACCTTATCGATTTTTTCTTGAGTAAACATGTATATGTAATATTATAATACACTGATTATAACATCAATACACTATGCTACAATGTGATAAATTAAAATTGAAACTTTAATAATACAACACATATGCACACCAAAAGTGGACAAATATAACCACCACCAAAAGCTTTTGAATATGAGAAAAATATACATTTTTAGAGAAAAAGCATAGGGTAAAGATCAGAATACTAAAAAAAAAAAAAAAAAATTTTAAAAGAGTTTGAAATTTTTATTAGAATGATGCACATCATGTACAAGATTTAGGACTTACTTGTCTTATTGTTTAAAGTGTTGGTTTCTCCGAAAGTTCAAAACGTTTTATCATGTATTATTTTATGGCAGAATTTTTCCATAGGATAGTGTTATTCGGGAAAATTGTGTATATGGTAAAATATGGTTAAAAAAAGAATTTTATTTTCATGGAATCGATGCATGCCATGGTGAGCATTTCCTGCACCTTCCCTTTTTCATATATATCTCTTTTTAAATAAATGTGTGATTTTTGGAACTGATCCATGTACTCGAAAAACTACGTTATGGAATAATGAACCGACTAAAATTAAAGAAATATATCAAATATCTTCAGTTTTATTTCTTTTTCAGAGACAAGTGGCACAGCACAGAGAGTAATTTGTGACTGATTGGTGACCAACGGTAGACTTTAGACCGCGAAATTATAAAAGCGATATGGACGGCAAATTTCTTTTAGATTATCCAAAACACTTCAGATCAATATAATTCTTAATTTACAACTGGGGTAGACATACTTGACAAGTGTATGTGACTTGATAAAATACCGCTTAATCTCGATAGAATATTATAGTTACGGTGACACACTAGAATGCTGTTTTGTGCACTGCAGTTTATTTTTATCTTACTATATTATTTCTACTAAGTCTTGAGAGCAGGGAAGGGCACTTGACATTTTTTAGGGGAATGTTCAATAGTATATGTATATTTTGTACCTTAATTTACAATTTACATTGCTTTTTTTCTTTCCATATACAGATTTATAAGTTTGTCGAGTAAATGTGTTTGTGTTTTGTTTATCTTTATTTAAGGCTCTGTCGCATTGAAATAAATTAACAAGAATAAGAGTTTTCATGAAATGTACTTCTAACAAAGCGTTCCAAATAATATAAATAAATGCGCATAGCGTTGATCTCTTCATGCAAAAATAAAATAAAATGAAAAACGTTATTTTTGCAGAGCTGTATCAAGATTTCTACGTATATTTTTTCTTATCTGAAATTAATATTAATTAAAAAAAATCCTAGATTCTTGTTTATTGGAACGCATCTCTAGGTCTGAAGGTGAAGTAGGCATTCGAAATTGTAATAAGATTTATAAAATCTTAATAAAATAAAAATATAAATCTCCAAGGAATATGCATTACCAGCTTTGTAAGAAAAACAAACTTGTACATCATATATTTACCATTTTCGTGTATTTGACAAATGTATATTTTAAAGCAATTAATTTTAGATGAAGAATGCACAAAAAAGTGTGACATTGAGGGGCGATTTGACCAAATATATGCCAATATTTCTTTTACACCAAAGAATCGAAATTATATAGATCTCGGAATGAATAAGCATTATTAGTACTAGGGCTTGTGCACCTGAGTAAACATAAAAAGTATTTTTAAAAATGTCACAAAACATGTTTTGAAAATAGTTAGAAATGTTTTCTAAGTACACTGGTAATTGGACTTAAATGATAATTTCCAGGTGGATACATGAAGAGAAGTTTACCTATAGAAACCATTAATTTCTCTTTCCCTCCTGCTTCCCTTTTCCTCGCTTTATACGTTAAGATAAAGATTATAACAATATTCCAAGGAGATCAATAAAGAATATTCATGTAGAAATAATTATTACAGTTGGTGTCATAAGGTCTTTTACGAACATTTAAAAGTAATGTAGATGCCAGTCTTATTTCTGAATAGCAGAAGCAGAGGAATAAGAAGCTACAAATAACAGCCATTTTGTCCTGAAAAGGAAATCAATCAAGAATTTTAATATTTTTACATTCCCACTGCAAACCCTGACAATTAATTTAAAAAAGAGATCGCTAATAAGACCTACAAGTATGTCGATTGTTTTTTCCCTTCAATTTTTAACCCGAGTATATGCAAACAACGCAAGCAAATGATAATCCAACAAAAGACCTCAGAAAGACCATCTACTCTTCTTAATGTCGTTTTTTCCCCCCCCCCAAAATAAGGCATTTGACAATTCCAGGAATTATGAAATATTGAGCATTGAAATTTGTTTGAGAACAAATACTGCAAAGTTGATTGAACCGTTTAAATTGTCAGATGAAGATTTTCCCAAACTATAATCTAATCCAGAAAACAGACCATGATTCAATTTTGAAAAGTCGTTGCATTTCATAAAAGAATTCAGAAAAAAAAAATAATTTGTTTACTCTTTGACATTGTAATGCATTTATTAACACTCATTCTCATGGAATATTTAGCTAGGTTCAACTTGAATGAAGAATGGCAACTCTTCGAGAACGTGATTTAATATACAACAAAATATCTGTAAAAAGAAAGTAAGAATAAGAATATTTATTATATGAAAATGCTTTTGCTATAAAGGGCATGCATTTCTAGTCTGATTAATCGATTACCTTTTAACATGTAACCATATTCAAAGGTTTTGGAAAAGTTAATTGTTGATTTATGCATTGTATTGCATGAAATAGTAACAGTTATATTGCATGTATCATTTAATTAGTAAATTCGGATAATTTAAAAAAAATATTCTAAAATATTCTCTTGTGGATACTCTTCGTATCTGTTATGGGTGAAATTGCTTCAAAAAGAAGTAAGTTTCTATGTTTTTATAACATTTAAATACAAAATGTACTGATACTAACGTTCCTTATTGAACTTTTATGGGTTTAAATTAGGTTATTCCCAGTCCAGTAACAATATACCTTGTTGCCCTCATATTCACCTTAAACTTGTGCAATCAATAATGAAATATGTATTAAGTATAATGCACTGTACATTATGTACACTAAGAATCCCTCTCAAACAATTATTAATTTAACCATGCAGAAAATTAAGAAAAACTTAAAAAAAAGGATACTAGATAAAATGCAGCTTGAGAATTACTCTTGATTACTTAAAAAAAATCATCTCTCTCCCTCTCTCTCTAAAAAAACTACATATGTTTTGTCAATGAGGAACTCAAACATCTTTTTAATATCAACTAGGAGTATTTTGCGAAGATTCAGAACTATTTTCAACAAAGTTATTTTGTAGATGACCAGACAAAAGATATGAAAAATGTTCGAGTTCTGTTGTTTTGAAAGAAACAGTTGTCTATGATGGCAAAAAGGTTGATTTATTGTGATTAAAGCCTGTATGAAGTGTTGAAAAGATAAACGTTTTAATGCTATTGATTTTTTGTAAAAAGTGTATCAAATGTTCCAAAAGTTCTTTGCAGTTTTGAGAATCCACAATTGTATATATCACTTCTTGAATATGTTGCAAAACAGTAAGCCTTGAAATTAAAGCAAATAATATTTTGGCGAAATCTAAAGATTGGATCTTGGTTGGAGATTTACTGGACCCTACAATACATCTCTGTCTGTAGGATTTTTATGAAGTGTTGGAATCGTTATTTGGTGTAGGCAGGGATGTTAAAGTATTTAAAACTGTAACATTATTCTGAAGAATTTCATACAATGATATATATATATATTAGTAAACATTGGTCCTGAGCTGGTACCAACCCCTCGGGCTTGCTTTTATGTGATATTTTATATAAATCATTTTTTCAATATCTTATTATATTTGTATTAAAATCTTTGAAGAAGGCATAATTGTGCAAAAATGTCGCTTTTAGTGTAAAATTATCCGGGAAAAATTAAACATATGCTATAATATCGAACCCCAGTCTTTTAGCGCACGCTTTAAGCAACTAACCTATACCTGGATAGCCAGGAAAATGAAACGAGACAGTTTATTTGAATTGAACCCCAATTCTATCTAATATTTACTAAACCTACAAAATATTATGATGCATTATACGACAATTATTCTTCTTTGCAGATCTTTAAAAAAAACAATCATTGCAAGAATAAAATAGTCAAAGAAAAGCTTCTTTCAGCAGATGCTACATGTATATCCGTTAGAAGAGAGGTCTTTGAAAGTATCTTGGAATTGACGAAAATATCGTACAGTGATCGTTCTCAGAAGTCCATATAAACAATACAAATTATGAGCAGAGACAGCTCGAACCTCTGAAAACAGAGGTGCTCTTTGTCATGATAGGGTAAACGGAACATTCGTAGACAATTCAGTGTGAAAATAATGACCTAATAATTTGTATGAAAAACATCAGTCAATATTCGACCTATCGACAGACTGTTTTTGCAAACAAGGTCATTGTATGGACCAAACATTTGCGAAATGTTGACTTTTAAAGAGATTGTTGATATTCTTGTATCATCAACTTATTTGTCAATAGCCTGCCTCGTTTTAGAAATCGTTCTTGCGTATCAAATCAGTTGGGAGACATAAAGTTCATATGCAGGTGATAATGGTATATTGCTAACGAAGGGAAGTTGACGATAGAAAAGTTGAAGTCACGTTTATCATAAAGTTTAATTGTCAATTTGCCATCAATATCTATGTCTAGTAAAACATCCAATTAGGAAACAGATGCGTCAGACTCTGCGGTGTCTTATATTTCGAGTCAATGGGATATATTGAATCAACGTAGGAAGAGAAATGAATGTTGCTAATTGATAGAACGCCGTCGATATATTTAAATGTTGATTTGAAGGTCGCAACAAGAGACTTCTTGTTATGCAGAAGTTTTTTAAAAATAAGTTCTGCTTCAAAAACAGATCTGCTAATAACGGGGCAAAATTAGTACCTGTTGGAACTCCAATAGATTTTTGGAAGACTTGGTCTCCGAAAACCACAGAGATATTGTCAATGAGAAACTCAAGTATCTTTTTAATATCAACCTTGGAGTACTTGTGTGTAGAATCAGAATTTTTTTAACAAAATGTCTGCATACGAACAATGACTAGGTATGCAAATTTAAGTTGTTCTATAATGTCAAAGAATCTGGTATTTTGTTTATCTCTGGGAATGGTTAAAAAAGTTTCGAAAGTCGTATGTTTTAATGCTATTGATTTCGGAAAAAGAATTGTGCTTTCAAATTTTCTAAAAGTTCCTTGGAGTTTTTAAGTAACCACATCTGATTAACACCATTTTTCTAATACAGTATGTTGTTGTACAGTACTCCCAAAAGTTTCTCTTTAGCTGCTGTTAATATTTTCGTGAGGAGTAAAGAAAGAAACTTGGTAGAATATTTACTAGAACCCGCTATGTTTCTCTGTTTGTAAGGATTCTTATGAAGTTTGGGAATCGAGTACACGCACGGTAAATCAAATTCAATTTAATTATTGGGAACATTAAACATATTTAAAACTGACATATGATTATGAAGAATTTCCTCCTTGGAAAGGAAACTATGAGTACAAGTTGGATTACCACTTGTAGAATTATGTCCCAAGTTCCTCTAAAATGCAATTGTAATAATAAGCCTTAGAAAGAAAGACTATATTGTTACCTGCTTTGTCAGCTGGGACCAGTACATATTGATCGTGTGTAATCTATCTGATTTTATATATAGAGTATAATAGATTTCATATTTTCAAATTTATTTTCCCTTTACTATGAAACAAAGTTCAATACCTTAATAAAATGTGATATACACCATATTTAAACACTACCAATATAACAACGTTTTAATGAACAAGATAATAAGTAAAGAAACATGCAACTTATTCAAATGCACAGATGCTGAACAAAGGCTGTATGAAAAAATATTTTATGATCAATTCTTAACGAGAACATTACTGGGATTTTATTCAAATTCACGTTTTCAATGAAAGAAATTTTTATTTTCAATGTTTTCTCTATGATAAGAACTACTCATTATTGACAACTGGCAAGAGTAACATGGATTAACACTAGTTCGTTATTGAAGTTAAAGACATTATTCTTAATAGTTTTGGTGAAAATATATTTTATCACGAAAATCTAAAGGATGGACATCTTATATATCTTTGCCACTCTTTATGAAAACGTCATCTGAAATCAAGGTCTGAATTTCTTTTTTTTTTCTTTTCGAATTCTTGACCTGTAACTAAACAAAGATGAAAAGGTCGCTTTTACTCATAACGTGCTTAACTCGAAACTGTTGCTACCATGTGATATCGTTATTTAACATTGATTAAAAAGTGAATGGATATATAACATGTGCATTCATCGCACTCCAATTGAAACACACAGTGTTCCTCCGATCATGACCAAGAAAACCATTTTTCTCCATTGCATTTATATGGTACTTATTCCATATATAATACAAGGACAGGAAGAGAGGGCGGCAACATTTGTATTAACTGGCTTTGTTAACAACTCACTTTCGTTAACATTAGGTATACCGATAAGATCATTGGTAGACTGTTCATCATACTGTTTAAAGGATGAAAACTGTACTTATTTTCATTTTTGTAAAGAAGGAAATTCAAACATATGTTTTCCTAACGATAAGAATGATACGAACATACCTGTAGTAGAGAATGGATCATGCGAACGATTTCAACAGGTAAGTTTTTTTTCTATTCGAAACACAAAATATACATGTTGGGGCGGGGGGGGGGGGGGGGGCTAGTAAGTTGATCTCCGTTTAAATAATATGCACTCATTGCTCTTTATTTGCGAAGAAATATTCCTGTTTTATTATTTTAAAGTGTTTTATTTTAAAGATTGGGTTATTATTGTTTTTTTCCCCAAGGATGTCATTTTTTTCAAAAATAATATACACAGGTTTTTGAGAATGAGTTCAAAGAAACTTGTCGATGTCCTGACAATATTGGAGGGGAAGGATGCAAATACAAATGCGCTAAGCATTGGAATGGAGTAAAAAAAAAATCAATTTTGAAAAGTAAATGACAGAAACTACTGAGAAAAAAATTCTTTATTATGTCCTTTGAATTCTCTGATAGGACATGTAATATCATTTATTGATTTGTAAACGTTGATTCTGTAATGTGTATAATAATATAAAAAAATCAAGTTGACATTTTTTTTTCTAGATTGTAGTCGCCGAAATATGGCTGAAATATTGCCTACTCGGCGTTAAACAATAATAATATAATAATAATCTAGATTGTAGTGGGAATCTAGTACCTTTGAATACCGCGTCGTATACCTACTCGAGGACTTCCATGGGAAGTACACGTGAAATTCTTTGCAATATGACGGTAGACAATGGTGGATGGATAGTCAGTACAATTTCTATCTTTATTTTCAGATGCATATTATAATTATTCATATCAAAGTTAAATCATTGTTGAACATTATTTGTTTTGACCATTATATCTATTGCAAAATTGTTTGAGGAGTAGACAAAGGCGTTTAGTTCGAGGATTCAGCATTTATTTATTTCATTCCTTCTTCAAAAGTTAAAAAATAATCTTATTGAATATTTGCTTCTTTCGAATAATTTTATGTTCAATATATGTTGAAGGTCTTTCAACGTCGTTTCGACGGAAGTATGGACTTTTACCGGAACTGGGAGAATTATACATCAGGATTTGGAAACCCAAATAGCGAATTTTACTTGGGTAACGTTCAAAATTAATAAAAACCATGATGTATCAATTTACATTACCGGCTTAACTAAAAATAAATAAAATAGAATTGACTTTGTACTTGTAGGATTATATAAAAATGTCATTCAACATTTTTATTTCTAGATGTCGAATTTAAGGTTAAGCACATGCTTAAAAATAAATTTAAGTATAAGAGGAACCTTTTAAGATAATATCTGACAAACTTGAAAATGCACATGTTAGCATACTTGTTAGCTTTTATTTGCATACATATTATTATCTGAAGACATATGAGTCCTTTTGGTTGAGATAAACAGTGTGTTTTGTTTAAATAATCATAGCTAGCCAATGTAGTGAAACAAGGAATCCCCGCATTGAAAAGCCTTAATAACCTATCTATTTATAAGGAATTGAGAATCTGATTATCTAAACATTGTATACTACCGCGGTATTTACTACTACTAGCTGAAACCCCGCGCAAGCGCGGGTAATTGAATTTATACCACTGCCAACAGAAAATATATTGTAGTTTCTACTGACAGCCTGCAGGCTTATAGCAGGAAGAAATACTTTGTTCAAAATCCTGTATGTGCGTCTCCAACCCCCTACCCCACCCCCTTTTGTTAAAACTTGAAAAAATAACAATTTCATTAATTGACGTTTATTGTGAAACATACATGCACTATGTTATGAATATTGTACTTCAGATGCTCTTATTTCATTTCCGTCAAAGATAAAAGCAGCGAATACGCACATTTTACTGATAAATCGATTGATTTTTTTGGGGAGGAGGAGGGTAAAAATTCACAGGTACTTGGGTCTTGGTTTATAAATATGTATGTACCTTATTGATATGTAAAAAATGTACTTTACCCTTTTAACATATCAATAAGGTACATAAATAATTAAATATTATATAAACCTGTGTAAAAATTAGCTTTTAACGCCCTATGAATAAGCCGAGTATTTGATACAAAAGACTGTATTCAGAAATAAAACTGAAATGTATTGATTAGAGCACAGAATTTTACAGTTTTAATTGTATATGAGCAATATCTTATTCATTAATTTTCTCTTTTCATGTAAGCAATTTTTATTACGAAGTAGAAAATGTACTTCGGGTTCGTTGCCACGATGCTCTTAGTAAAATTATTAGGAAAACCTACTACATATATGTAATAGTCTTTCGATATATAAATTTATTCACAACTTAAAGTGTTATCAATGATTTACCATTATTTCAATGACCATTCACACATAAGGTTTTTTTTAATGTTCCTGTAGCTATGATCGTCTCAGTTTTCTTTTTAACATCGGGCTCGATGCTATATGATGTTCTAGAAGCTTCCGTCAATATTAAGATCGGTGACTGACAAAAATAATTTGCACATTTCCCTTTTTACTCGGTTCTCACAACTTATTTCTTTTGTGTCATTTAAATCAAGTTTTGATTGAATAATTCAGTGATGAGGTTTTATGAAATAAATAAACGATTGATTGTTGTCAGTTTCATTGAAAATTGCCTGAAACTTAGATCCGCCAACCGGAAACGCCACCGTACTCATGTTTTTGCTATTTCATGGCTGTTTATAGAAAATAAAAGTAGACTTTTAATTTAATGTACGATACTTACAATGCGAGTGAAATCTAAATATAGTTTACGGACATCATATTGTATTTAGTGTATTCTTAGAGGAGTAAGTAAAAACTCTGGTGCATCCGTTTCGGAGTTTATTTGCAAAATTTATTAATTTATAAGTATAGATGGTATTTACTACTTTACTTAAAACCATTACTATAACATTCCATTTTACGAAATGATCCGATAAAGCATAGAAAAATAACTGCTGTAGGCCACTTAGGATTGCAGATCTTACACGTATTTAGAAACTGTACATGGAATACAGGGAAAGTCCTCCGTTACAGCATAGTGCTTATTAGTCCCCTACCGGTGAAACCGGAGGGGACTATAGGTTTCTTCTGAGTCTGTCTGTCCGTCCGTATGTCTGTCTGTCTAGCTGTCTGTCCCTCTGTCTGTCTGTCAGTCTGTCCCACTTGGTTTTCCGCACTTTTTTAATTACTAGTATGCCAAAACTACTGGAAGATTTCGGTAATGCTTGAGGAATTTAGTCAGCTGAAGAAACTAAATAGCAATTTATGTTAGTTACACCATACGTCTTCTTTTTCGTTTGATTTAAAATGAAGCCGTATTTATTTTTGTTGAAATAAATGCACACATTTACGCAATTTCATGCATTTTTCTAAAAAAAAAAAACAAAAAAACGTTTCAAATAAAGATAGACAATAAAAACCTAGTACTCATACTAAAACATTGAGGAAGAGATCAGTTGAATTATATGAAAATGAAGTGCATTTCTTGCAAAGTCTTGAAAAACTTTTATACAATGGTAGTTTGATATTTATATCATACAAATCTTTAGGAAATCAAATTCTACATGAAATTGTGACAAACGGAAGTTTCGAGCTCAGAATTGACTTGGAGGAAGACACTGGGGAATGGAGATATGCCAAATATTCTCATTTCTCTATCGGAGGTCCTGAGACGTTTTACACTTTAAGTGTCACAGGATATACCGGGAATGCAAGTGAGTATTATTTTTCAATTGTAAGTAATGGTATATCATCCTCATCTCTCCCAGTTCAAAATTTGAGCAATGTAATAAACGATAAGAAAGTTTAGAAATTTACAGATTTTTGATTCGCCTTCATATGGTTAATTAAAAAAAAAACTACAATGCTTTACTTTACTTTAAGACAGTCCTACATATCAAGGTTTTTGAATCATATATTTACAAATATTGTAAGGAATGGTTTTTGAAGTGTTAAACATTAAACTTTTAATTAATTTGCAACATTTTTATATTGGCATGAAGATGTGATATAACTTAACCAGACCTCTATAATATATCACGCATCATACCTTACGACATCGTTAACTGGAGTCAAAGAGGAAATAAGATATAGTACACCAACAGTGAATAAGTAACATTATAGTTGTTTATATTTGAAGGTAAAGGATGACTGCACTTAACGCCTGTTTTTGGGTCTTTTTCGGTTGCTTCTGTTGCTTTTATATCTAAACCTTATTTCACTGTTGTGTGTTTATGAAAGAATCCTGTCAATTTGTAACCAAATTTAAATCTTAAAATGATTTTAGACTGTGATACAATAAAATGATTCAATGTTTTTTGTCCTTACTGCTTTCCAAATATAGTGAATTTACACTTACCTGCCCTTGATTGAACATTAGATATGCATGAGAGGTGGAGCTAACATGGTAAGAATGGGTCTAAAATTAGATTTGATAAATAACAATGACATGTTTGGAAAAAAAAAACGTGATCACTCTTTCCAATCTCCCTCTCCATTCTGTATGGCACAAATACACTTCTGACAAAGGTTTCAAAACGAAATCAACAATATGAGCACGTCAATGTAATTAAAGCAGATTTTATATCAATGCCAGATGACTTAATGTGTTCGAACACAATGTCCTAGTTAGCACAAAACATGCTACCTTACAAGTCACGTGACGGAATTAAGTATTCACAAAGTCACCTGAGGTAAGAAATCACGTGGTGAATTATAATATTCAACATGTCACAATCCTTGGTTACAACACAGAGAGCAAATGTAAGAAGAAGCAGTTTTTTTCTCTTTTTAACCATGAGTGCATGTTTGTCTATTATTCTCCTTTTGACACATTATTATCTATGCAAATATACAACTACTGTTAAACGTAGAACAATAGACAAACATGCGCTGACTATGTATAAAGTCAGTAAAAAAGTGGGTGTCCTCATTATCGAACGGAGATTCAAGAAATTGTGAGGACCCCTGCCTTTGAAAACAGATTCGAACTTCGTAAATACACACTTTTATTAAACGTAATTACATAAAGTTGTAGATTGGATGTTGACCATTCTTGCAATGAAAAGAAAAATGCTTGTTTTGAAAGTTTATTTTCTCGCAAATTTCGCATGTCCTTAAGCGCAGTCATCCTTTCTCAATTGAAAGAAAAATAGAAGTTTCCATCTCTATTGGGTTGAAGTCATTCCCAATTTTAACTCTTTTTATAATTAGCTGATTTTTTTCCACTGAACTTTTGTAATTTGCTATCAGTTCAGTACTCTGTCAGAACGGATTACAGATGCCCCTGAAATAAATACGGATATATATTTAATTGCTGTGGTAAAATTTAGAAATTTATTTCAATATTAAGGATTATCTCCCTTATGCATAGTTCTGATCCTTCGATGTATTTGGCTCCAGTCTTTGGCACCTTCAAAGTCTTTTTAAAATATTTTGGATTTCCAACGTTTCGGCATGAGTATCACTGAGGAGACATAAATTGTTGAAATGCGCATCTGGTGCATCAAAATTGGTACCGTATATGATTTACATACAGCGTTTCCATGTGAAATATGAAGATAACTAATAGTAATCAAGTTCAAAAGTCAATTGGAACAATGAAAAATGGGAGCAGTTCTAAAAACATCAGTTGTGGGATCAGGTGCCATAGACGAGTAAGCATTCCCTTGTCGACCGACCCGGCCACAATCGCCGTATGCTCCTTGTCATATATATATATATATATATAATATATATATATATATATATATATATATATATATATATATATATATATATATATATATATATATATATATATATATATATATATATATATATATATATATTATTGTTATGTATTTAAGGAATAATGTTCACGTTTTCGTGAATGTTGTAGGATAACCTCCGAGGTCGAGAAATGTTGTTTAAAGTATAAAAGCTCAGGCATTAGAATGGGATGTTAAACAACATACAATCAATTAATCAATCGAGACCGGGGATGTTATCCTGCATCATTCACGACAACAAGAACTTGATTTCTATTCTACTAACAGCTCTAAAATACATTCATCGTTACCTCTTTAAAAGAAATGATTTAGGGGGGTCTTCTACCTATTCCCACTTTTTAAAAATCTCAATTCCACCTATTCCCACTTGCAAATAACAAAAGATGTTTTGATAGTTAATTTGTTTTTATAGTAATTAGACTAATTACATTCTATCTCAACTTTACCTGTACTTCCTACATTTTCAGACAGAAAATAGATAGATTAATGAAAAAATATGGTTAATTTTATTTAAATATATGGATTTTAGAAAATAAAAAACCCGATTAAGGTCACCATGTCGCGATTAGGCTGTTCCATTTAACACCACAGGGTCAATTTGTCTGTTTACTTGTATATCGATTGCAATGGAATGCAGACGACTTGAGCTTTTGCTGGATTAAAGATATCCTTTAATTATTTATAAATTTTCTGATAACATAAATCAATTAATTTTTATGAATGTTAAATAACAAAATCAGTTTACTATTTTATTGATTTATCAGTAAAATCATGGAGTATAAATGTTGTGGGGACGTCTGTTGAACAGCCCCATTTATCTATAAAAACCGACATTTATCATCTCATTTGGGCAATACATGTACACACTGTTTAGACTTCAGAATACATCGATATTGTCTAAATAAGTATTGGATTATGAAGTCAAAAATACATTTCAACTGTACAGGTTTGATTTGTGTTTCTGATCTGATAATTTATTGATGACGTTCGTGATTTATTGGAGAATATTTACATCCACTGAATATTTTCTCCTTTATATCTAAAGAAAACCATTGCCGTTTATCAGTTCATGAACAACACTAGGCATATCACCTGAACGGATTTCTTGATCAGTGGCGGTTCCTTCAATGAAACATACTATGGCGTACATATCAATAATACAATAATTAATCTTTTTAATCCTACTTTTAATGATTGTTTATACAGATATAAATATAAACAATAAAAATGTCTTTCTTTGGTTGTTAGTACGGGAATTAACGTCGCAGCTATTGCAGAAAAAATTAACATAACCCGCTTACGCGGGTTATGTATTTTTTCTGCAGCAGCTGCGACATTAATTCCCGTACTAACAACCAAAGAAAGCATTTTATTGTATAAATAATGTCCGCGGCACCTCTTTGATCTCGGCAACAACTGTAGTAGAATTTGTTATAATCGAGAAAACGGGAAAATCCGTAGACTAATTAATGTGAAAATAATGGCCTGTGCAAAGATTTTTATTGAATTAACATGAAATAAGCATAATTATAAATTGAAATTTGCACACTAATTTAATTTTTTTTTTCTCATGAAATCTTAAGTTTTGTTAATTATTTCTGGACTCAAGTTATTTTTTTCTGAAGTAAGTCAAGATATTTTGTTCTCGTTTAAATATGATGCATGTTTATTTTTAGAAGGATTAAGAATGTCTACCGAACCATTCGCTAATACAATATTAGATGCTGAAAAATTGTTGTATTTTTTTTTCGAGGACTTAAAAGCAAATGAAATAGTGGCTTCTATCGCAAATTTTCTCATTCGGTTTTACATCTTTACGCCAATATATGAACAGATCGGGAATTCAGCTTTAAAGGCATCAAATTTCGACCAGTCATATACATGTACCTGTATATAAAAACACTCGAAACATGCTTAATTGAATGATATAGGCTACAATTTATATCAGAATGTCATCAATTTTATACTTGTTTCTACATCAGGAGAAAATGAATATTTATGTTGTTTTGTAGATGACAGTTTTAGTCCTCACAGTGAAATGAAATTTTCAACTTATGATATGGACAATGATATTCACATAGATTCCGCCCTCAACTGTGCATATGTTTTCCAAGGCGCTTGGTGGTACGCAATGTGTGCAGTTAGCAACCTTAATGGTTTATATGGGTCAGATAACCAAAAAGGTTTATTTTGGTATTACTGGCATAACAACCATCAACATTCAATAAAATCAACACAAATGATGGTTAGAATGACTAGTAAATGAGATCGGAGGAAAATTCATTTATGTTTGCACTAAAATATAAATGATCTTTTTTTTTTTTTTAAACCTGCAAAGCTTTACACCAACTTGTTTTTCGTTAAAAAAACAAACAAACAAACAAACAAACAAAAAAAAAAAAAACAACAACAACGAAAAAAAAAACAAAAAAACAAAAAAACAAAAAAAACAAAACAAAACAAAACAAAACAAAATTAAAAAAAAAAAAAAAAAAAAAAAAAAAGAAGAAGAGTATGAGAATAATCATTGGCATTAAAAAAAAGGAAGCAATTGTTAGGAGGGAACTTTATGTCTCCATTTCAGTACTGAGAAGAAAAATGGGAGCTGGATGTATATATTTTAAGGAATTGTCAAGTATTTCTCCCAAACCTTTACACCTACACTCATTTCTAAAGAAAAGCCTCAATTTTATGTATCAAAAATATTCTTTTAAAGCAGAACCTATACAAATATGTCCACTTGGGAAAATGAAAAAAAAAAATGTTGTGGCATTCAATTTGACATTTCGATATATTAACGACGTTTGATTCATTATTTACTACTCGATATATCCCAGAGAACTCCAAATAAAAGACACCACGGAGTTTGATAGGTATTATTCATATTTTGGGTATTTTATTGAATTTGGATGTTCATGGCATACTATCTATCCATTTTTATGACAAACCCGATGATTTATGATTTTTCGTTGTCAACTTTTCATATTAATGTAGCAATATTCCACATCACCTACATGTACATATGGTTTTTATTCACTCCTCCTAAGGACATGGCCCCACTTCTCGAATTTCCAGGGGTCCTGTTTTATGCCCTGTTCACTGAGTTTTATTATTTGTATTTTTTTTTTTAGATCGATCACTGTTCGTCATCTTCGCCTATTTCATTAAACGTTGTATAAAATTGATCACTGTGCGTAATTTTTTTTTAATTTTTTTGGAAATAAAATTGTTCAGTCATTTTGATCCAGATGCCATTATAGAAATAAGTACAATTCCATCCTCTTCACTGTTAATTACTTTTAATTCGGGAGCATTTTATTTTTTTGCGTCACTACCCAAGATTGTCTGTTTGCGAAAATTTCACATTAATTTTGTACATGTATATACATATTTCTATGATTAAAGATTATTTACAACAATAACCAAAATTTTTGTTTTACTTGCTGGGTTTTGACTTTTATTTATGATTTTGCTACATGGAATATGGGTTCTACTATTCATATATATTTCTATATTATCTTTTTCAACTAAACGTACTTACACCTTGTAATCTGAGAGACGTAAGTGACAATTTTTGTTATTGTAAATAACTGTGTCGTAACCATTATTATGAATGCAATAAAAACTTTTATAGCACACCTCTTATTCAACATTTCTACTAAGATATTAAGAGACGGGTACAAACCTTAATGCCAATAGTATAGCGGTATTCCACTATAATATGGGTATTACGCTATATTTTGACACGAAAACACACTCATTTTTCGTCAAAAATATAGGTTGATCAATAGATCAAAGACAGCCAATGGTTATAAATTAAACGTTTAATAATGGGAACATGGCGTGAATGTCATAAGCATAGAAAAAAGCAACGTATTTCTTCATTGCTCGTAAGAGTTGTATTCTTACATTTGTTTTTAGTTAATAGTTGCATTCATTTGGTAAATAGTACAATGTAAGAGCTATAGGCAAATACAAAATTGCCCATCATGGCCAAATGATTTTGCATCTATTTCCTATGAATGTAGGAATAGGATGCTGTTATCGAAGGAGTGCAAATACAGTTTTCTTTCCTAGCTAGTAGCCAGTTATTCCCCTTAGATATATATAAATCATGCACACTCAAATTAAGGTCACCTATTTGATGTATGTTGTTCATACTTTTGGGGCTTGCTAGTTGTATGCAGCCCACATTTGACAGTTGTGATTTGTGTTGTGAATGTTGTTTGTATTCAATATCAGCTGTGCCCTTAATCGCCAATAAACTTCATAACAAATATTTTCTGTATTCATTTGCAATCTCTGAGATAATTGTAAATTTATTTGAAATGTTAAATAAATGAAATTGCAAAAAGGGATTAGACATACAAACAAACGAACGAACAATCATGCAAACAATACAAAGAAAAACAGAATTTAAAGAGGCTTAATGCTCACTTGTCACCTTTCACTTGACAAGGAATATTTTTTTTTTACAATTGATTTCCCTGTCTATCATTGACCTTATTAAGAACATGTGGCTTGAGGTCTTGAAAAAAAAGTATCAAATGAGATTGCAAAGCAAATTCCAGAGTTCAACCTTTAAAGGTGATGTGGCTACAAAATCCAACTCTCAATAATTAGTGGTGCAGTGAAGCTAATCTCTGATACCGACGTACACTTCAGAAAATCACAATCAAACTTCTTTTTGGTAAGAATGTTTAAATATGTTTTTTTGAATTATACGTTAAGTACTGAACGCGATGTTAAAAAGAAAAGCAAGAGTACATAAGACTAAAATAAGTTTGATGTGAGTAAGCATGGAAGTAATTGAAATGTATAACATTTGATAAAATTATAAAGAGTGAATATATCTATGTTTAAAAAAGCTATTAGTATTCAAGTTGTGACAATTAAGTTTATTAATAATACATGTACTACGTTGCCACTATCACTTGGCTTAGCTTAATTCTGGATGTGAGAAATTTTATTACTCTGTAACTGTATACACACTGACTGCTACATCTATTAGAAACATAGGTACTCGTTCTCAGGATGGTGTATTTTGTATACTAGAATATTATGTCTTTATATATTTGATGTACCTTGATCTTGGCTGGTATGGTTTTATTGTTTCCCCATACTGCTTCAATCAGCAAAGAATTAAATTGACGGAACAATTCCAATATATCTTAGTAGTTTCTAATGACAGTTAATTACAGTCCTATTGCAAAATGAATTCTTCTGAATCTTTTGTTCAAAAGCCCACAGTTACTGTAAGTTTATTCAGGATATAACTTTGGGCAATACAGCCCATCAGTTTACAAAAATAACATATAATAACATTCATTACAAAATTTAAGACTCTCAGTGAGCCTAAATTGGGGGGGGGGGGGTGAAACCCCTGGTCAAGTGTTCCTCAGTCCCACAGTTCACTCATTTATATAGTATACAATAATATACACTGTATTGAATAAAGCAGTACATTACATAATTCAAAGTTATAATACAATATATAGCAATGATGTTTTAATGTACAGACATCTGAAAATGTAAACCTTACACAGATAGAAATTAGGTTAACCTGATAGATCTTCGTTACGTAATATTAGAGCATAATGGATATATTTCCCTAAACCAACCAAGGTAGATATGCGGTTGGTACCCAACAATTGGATTAATTTAAAAGTACTTGGCGATTTGTAATAATATTCATTTATACATTTTTTTCTTAAATTTAGATATCTAGGACATTGAAGAATGAAATGGAATTTCTTCTATTTGACGTGTCTTACAAACATCGCATAATCTATCCTCTCTACTTTTTGCCTTGGTACCTTCCGCATTCTATGTTAAGATAGTAAGACGAAAGTCTAATGCGGGAAATATGTTTTTTTTAAATTACTCTGAAAAGGTTTTGCTAAATAGGATTGCATTTTACAGAAGTCAGATTGGACAATGTGTTTATATAGAAAGCATTTTGACGAATTATCCATAAATGCAGTGCACTCTTGGAGGTATATATCTAGGATTCTGTTTTTATACACATGCATAAAATGAGCAAAGTTTATTGCTTGCTGTTTTATCCAAAATTCTCTCAGACCCAATCTAAATAGTTCAAGTTTTACATCACGCGCCCAGTTTATACTCGTTCCCGACCCATTCTCTGCATCACATCGCAGGTATTCATAAGAAGATTTTAAAATGCAGTTTTCTGTTTTTAATAATTTACACCAGAATTTCATAATTTTCAATTTCCCTTGTATAATAATGGATATCGCCCCAGTTCTCTATAAATCACATAATTGCATACATTGCGCCTAACACCGACTGTAACTTTACAAAAGGATAAATGCAGTCTTTCAATTTCCGGAGATTTATGAAAACCCCAGATTTCGCTTCCATACGAGATAACACTTCCAACATATGTATCAAAGAGTTGACATCGGGTTTCGCCGTTGAATTCAGATTTCTGTATATTACGGTTTAAACCAAATAGTGCTTTTTGACCTTGTTCAGCTAATTTCTTTTGCGTAATATTGAATTTACCGTTATAATTTAAACATAATCCTATGTAATTAAAACAGTCGACAATTTCCAAAATTTCATTGTTATAAGTTCATGAAAAATTTACGCATCCTCCTTTTCTGAATACTAAAATTTTGGTTTTTTCAGTGTTAACAGTCAAATTCCACGAGGCAACATATCCATGTAACGCGTCAAGCATATACTGTAATTCTTCTGGTGAGTTAGCGAATATTACGGTGTCATCTGCGAACATCAAAACAAAAAGATTTAGTTCCTTTAATTCTACGAATGGGCATTTGTGGTTTATGAAGTGGTTTTCCAAGTCGTTAACATACATATTGAATAGTATTAGTGACAACACTTCCCCCTGTAGCAACCCGGTGTTTGCTGGAAATTCTACGGATATCTCTCCAGCATTCTTGACACAAGCGCGCACGTCAACATAAAGCGATCGGATGATTCGAAGGAATTTTCCGGTAATCCCCAATTTAATCAACTTATACCATAATTTTTCTCTGTTAATTGTATCAAATGCCTTTTTATAGTCAATAAAACAGCAATGTAAACGTTGTTTGTTATTCAACTTTTGTGATATTAAACTTTGAAGCGCGAATATCGCATCATTAGTTGATCGGCCAGCTTGAAATCCAAATTGCGCATCAGTGATAATATTTTCTGAATTGTTGCATTTCATTATTCTTTCGTTAAGAATTGATGTAAAAAGTTTTCCTAGACTGCTTGTGATGCTGATACCTCTGT